GCCGCGTTCCTTCATCCTCCCTACCACTTGCTTCATTGTCTCCACCAGCCCGGTGGCAGTACCCTCCACGAGCATGTTCCACGCCGCCACGCCCACCGTCACCCAGGGTCCCGCTCCATCTCCTCGAACACCTTGTGCGCCACCTTGGGCTGCCCGACACAATGAACACCTTCATCAGCGTCGCCGTGTAGCTCACCGTGGATGGCGCAATGCCCGTGACCGCATCTCGTTGAAGAAGGCTAGCGCGCGCGCGCCTTATCATCGTGCCGAGCACGCACCCATCCATGAGGGTGTTGTATGTCACCACGATGGGCTGGATGCCGGCGTCCGTCACCATCTCCTCAAAGAGCTCCCACGGCTTTGCCGATCTGTAGTAGCTGGCGATACCCCTTGAGCGAGACGTTGTAGGTGACACGGTTGGCTAGAACTCCGGCCGAGGCCATCTTGCCCAAAGACCGGCGGCGGCTTGCTTGCCATCATCGCCCGCATCAACAAGCGCCGATATCACCGTCATGTAAGTCACATGGTCCGGCCGGCTTGCGGGTACCGTCGGCGCCTCTTGCCGATCGCAGCAGCAAAAGACGCCAATACATCGTCGATGTGGCTGCGTTCATGTATCCCTTCATCAACGTGGTGTACACCCTAGCGTTGGGCGGATAAGCTTTGGGGAGCAGCGGCACCTCATCCGAGCCCTGTCCTGTTTGGCCCGGCAACCACCATGTCGTCCGAAGGTAGCGGTACCCTCCTCGGCGTCGATCGCACCGCCGCAATCCATAGAGACAGCCCGAAAGATTAACATATGTTTTTGCGCTCTTCCCGCGCATCGCCGCACGATCCTCTCCGCCGTGGTGATGTCGCCGAAGCCCGACGAACGAGGCGACGAGGGAGTGAAAAAATGGTGGCGCAGGGGCGAGGCAGAGGAGAGCATGCGCTCAAGCACACGCAGCGACGAGGTCCTTTCGGTCGGTGCGCTCGCACATCACGACGATGTTGTAGGTGGCGCATCGGCGGTGGCACTCCATTCGCTCATTGCGTCGAAGCATTTGCTAGAATCGGTGGCGATCCTCGGCGTCGTATGCGGCTGAAAGGCCTGCGTTGAATGCTTGACAGCGTCGGGGGAGGCGGGGAGGGGTAGACGAGCTCTAGTGGCGCCTGGCGAGAGGTGGCGGAGGATGGCGTGAAGAGGCAGAGCACCTTGGTGGGCGGGAGAAGGCGGCGACGGGCGGTGGTGTACGCAAGGTCGGTCGGGGAGGAGGCCTGATGAGCATGTAGAGGAGGAGGAGTGGGTGAGGCGCGGCGTCATGAGGGGGCGGCGGCGCAGGCGCCGCCTGTGAGAGAGGGAGTTGGTGTCGAGGAGGTCGAGGCGCATGTGGCGCGGAGGCTCTGGAGGAGGCGGCGGCGGGAGAACGATCGGGGCCGTTGGAATTGAAGGAGAGCTGCTGAGGAGGCGAGAGGCGTGGTGGGGAGGAGGGGAGGCGAAGGCTTCGAGGAGAAGAGGTTGTAGGCGGCATCGGTGTCATGGGCGTGGGAGGCGCCGGAGGGCATCATCGGGCGCCATCTTCGTCATGGTCGGCCAGCGTGGTTGAGTGGCGGGTGGAAGGGAAGTAGGCTGGGATAGGGCAGTGGTGGATGGAGCCTCTGGTGTTTGGTTGCGGAGGAGGAAGAAGAAGGGGAGCATGAGCATGAGCAAGCAGGTGGGCGCCACCGGGAAGGAGGGATGGGGTTGGAGGGAGGCGAGGAGCGAGTGGCGCGTGCGACATAGCATCCCTGGAGTACCACGTGGTTCCTCGACTCCGGCGACCTCTAGCTCCTCGCGGACGACATGTGGATGGCGGTGCGGCATGGTGCTCTCGGGCGTGTGGACGGTGGAGCGGTGAGGCGACACTGCTCACAGCTGGCGAGCATGGGCAGCAAATGGACGGAGGAGGAAGAATGGCGCATCACAGCGCATGCTCGTGCGGGTGGAGATGACGGCCGTTACCCCAAAATTGACTGAACGTGACGGAATGCTAATTTCGGTTAACGCTTACATCTTTCGATGGTATTTCATGTGACGGAGCTTTTTCAGTGGTATTTTTCGATTCTTGTGATCTTTTGAAGCTACAGAACCAATTCTCCCTAATAAGTACTATTAGATACGAGCAAGAAAGGTAGTATTTGATCAGAAGCTAGTATAAATAGTACTTGGTACAATTGGATACTACTAATAGCGGTTGAACTCCTATGCTATTCCTCAATGTATTTTTTTAGACCAAAGCCTTTGATGTCGTTTATGTCTAATGAAAGCATAAACCTTCCCCATGTATGCGAATGTCTCTTTGAATGTATGTAAATGTCCCGGGATTGCCTGTACTCATGTCGTGTAGGACAAGTGGCGTCGAAAGTCTCCTCGCTCAGTCCTAATGTGAGGAGAGTAACCAAACCTTTGCTTACTAGGGCCTCGTTTAGATTGTCTCTAAATTCCAAGTTTTTTCACTCTCTTTCCACCACATCAATTTTTAAATGTATGCATGGAGTATTAAATATAAGTAAAAAAAATAACTAATTACACAGTTTGGTTGTAAATCACGAGATGGATCTTTTGAGCCTAGTTAGTCCATGATCGGACAAAGTTTGTCAAATACAAACGAAACGTGCTACAGTGTTCATGTTGCAAAAATTTACAATCTAAACGAGGCGAAAATAGTGCAGCTACAGTGTCTCTACGATCTCCAGCGGGAGATACTCGCCGAAGCTGCAAAACAAGCGGTACACGTACAGGTACAGCAACAAGACACAGTTGGAGCGACTACTGAGCATGCTGGGATCATTCGGCAAAGCGGATGCATGCTTGCCGATGCCGCCCGCACCGGCCTCCACAGCGGATCGCGGCCGCGCTGTCCCTGTCCATCTCCATCCACGGCATATGACGGCATCCTGTTCGTCACCGGCCCGCTCGCCCGAATGGCCTGCCCTCCCGTGCACGTCCCCCTCCCCGAGACCCCGACCGCGCGGTTGCCCTCGGCAGCAGGGGCCGGCCGCCGACCGCGGACACGGGCGTCCGCGTCCATCGTCGACTTGTATGCGTGCTCTCGACCGCTCGCTTGCCGGCGTTGACCCTTGCCCCGTTGCCTGCCGTACGTAGGACGGTAAGAGGTGTATTGGCTCCGGACAGAAGAAATACTGCTGCTACTTCAGATAAGATATATAGGCGATCCCATCACAAAACTTTACTGCTGCACTTTTAGCCTCCAAACAGGGGACTAAAAGTGAGCAAATAGGTAAAAACTGAGTTAAAATCTTTTGGCTAAACTCCCTCGGGGCGGGCGCGGGACGTCCCATACCCGTTGCCGCTCGCATGTATGGCTGTGCATGGATAATTAAATGATGGTAAATCAGTCATTGTAGATTGGAGGACTAAAGTTTAGCTCATGTATCAAACAGCTCAACCGGACTAAAGTTTTGTTGGACCAGTGATCCAAACACCACCGTACTCCCTTCTCCTGCTAGGTGCTTCCGATCAATGCAAGTCTGATTATCCTAATCAAATGGGGGTCGTCAAGGTTTTTAATTTCGGTATTGCCAAAATTTCGGCCACCACCGAAATTACCGAATTTCTCGAAATTCGGCCGAAATTACCGAATTTCGCGAAATTCGGCCAAAATTTCGTCGAAATTTTTTTAGAGATTAGCACATGAAGTATGTTTTTTCTAAAAAATTTTGGATTTAAACAAATATTAGTATGATTTATGACTACATATCTATTAAATAGAAGAATATGTAATATAAACAATAGAAAAATATAATATTAGAGTTATATAGCACATGTATTAGTATATTAAAAAATTTCGGAGTTTTCTTTCTGCCACCACTGAAATTACCGAATCTCGTGAAATTCGGCCAAAATTTCGCCGAAATTTTGAACCCTGGGGATCGTTTTGGCCCCGTTCGCTTCGCTGAAAAAACAAATCGAAACACTGTTCCGACTGATTTGTTATGAGAGAAAAAAACTATTTCGACTGAAAAAACAAGCTAAAAAATACGGATTACAAGAGAAGCGAACATTTAGGTCTGTTTGTTTGGCTGGCTTTAAGCTACTGCTCCTCTTTGGTTTCTAGTGAAGGAATACTGTAACTGAATGGGTGGTGAACACTGGCTGCTGCAGCACAGCAAACAGGCCAAAAAAAATCTTTCACCACCGTCTCTCCAACAGCATACGTGGTAGCAGACTAGCAGTGGCGCTCAACTCCGATGATTTCGCTGTCAAGGAGTACTAGACTCCAAAATTTTTTGGATTTTGGCTCATTGTAACATTTTGTTTGTATTTGGTAATTAGTGTCTAATTATAGACTAATTAGGTTCAAAAGTTTCGTCTCGCGATTTCTCACCCAACTGTGCAATTAGTTTTTTTTTCATCTACATTTAGTACTCCATGCATGTGCCGCAAGATTCGATATGACGGGTACTGCACAAAATTTTTTGGAATCTAAACAGGCCCACTGATCAGGGACCAACAGTTCAACACGTCTGCACAGGAACGCGTAAATGGCCCAGCCAGTCAACGATGGGAACGGGTTGGTCAAGCTTCTCTTGTCCTCATATATAGGAGTTGTACTATGTATTTTATTGAATGCTATTGCCGTTCAATTTCAGAATTTCTCGACGCAAGCTTGTCCTGCCGTGGTCCAGTCTCCGGGACTAGTCTCGCTGGAAACTGCCTGCCGCCAAGCTTCTCCATTATTGCAGCAGCCTAGAACACACTGTCGGTGAAAGTTCACAACCATATACTAAACCGTTCCCTTGCAATTTACATCCCAATCCCAGCTTCTCAATTTGCAGAGACGTCACAGATCCGGAAAGCAACAACACAGAAAGCAGTTCTTTTGCAAGGAGCCTCAAGCAGTTCTCCAACTCGATCCGGTGGTCGTAGCAGCCAGGGTGAGATCCATCCCTGCTGAGTGCTGACTGCCTCACGGCGGACAATTGACGGAGCAAGCCAAGAATTGTTCGTCGTATGGAAGATGGATGGGGCACTAGCGAGTGCTTCAACAGGGGTGATGAACTCCCTTCTCGCCAAGCTCTCTGCAATGGTTGAGGGGGAGTATGAGCTCCTTGGAGTCACCCAGTCCGACATTGCTTTTCTGAGCAACGAGCTCAGCAGTATGAACGCCCTGCTTGAGAAGCTGGCAGCAGCGGAGAAACTTGACGTGCAGGTACAGGTTTGGAGGGACAACATACGGGAACTAAGCTATGATATCGAAGATTGCATTGACATGTTTATGCAGAAGCTCAACCATGGCGACGCCGCCAAGGCAGGTAATTTTGTTAAGAAGATAATTGGTAAGGTTAAAAAGCTATGGTCAGGCTTCCAGATGGCTAACCAGATTCACGAGCTCAAGGCTCGTGTGGTTGAGGAGTGTGAGCGTCGCTTGAGATACAAGTACGACGAATCGATCTCCACCGCGGTCAAAGTGGAGATTGATCCACGATTGCCAGCGCTGTATGTGGAAGCAGAGAAACTTGTTGGTATCGACGGTCCTATGCAGAATCTCATGGATTGGTTGATGAAAGACGACTCGACACAACAGCTTAGAGTGGTGTCTATTGTGGGTTTTGGAGGCCTCGGCAAAACAACTCTCGCGAACCAAGTGTATCGCAAAATCAAGAGTCAATTTGATTGTACAGCTTTTGTACCAGTTTCGCGAAGTCCCATCATAAAGAAGATACTCCGTGATCTGCTTACAGAACTGGGTAGTAGTAAGACTCATGCATCAGAAGACGATGAGCGGCAACTCATAAATAATGTCAGAGCATATCTACAAGATAAAAGGTAAGCATAAAAATACCCATGTCTACTTCGATAGAAATATCCAATATTATGATATCAACAGAAAAAAAGAAAGGGTGTGTGTGTGTGTGTGTTGGGGGGGGGGGCGTATATATTATCGGATTACGTAAGGACCTCATCAGTCTGCTGCTCTCTTTACCTACCACAACCAAGTCTATACAAAAGACAGTACAATTGTTTGTGCTTGTAGGAAGGTATACTGCAAATAATATATTTCAGAAACACTAACTTTATAAAATTTATTTAATATTTTCTTATCAATGTTTACAATAAGTAGGTAGTGGTATATCTATTAAAATTCTGTTGTGGATCTGCACTAACTAAGTGTCTATACAATCATATATACTAGCAATGGAAATTTGTTACTTGATCTTGTGATACTAATGCCATTGCCATTCAAATAGGTACTTAATCATTGTTGATGATATCTGGAGCACAATCGCCTGGGAATTTGTGAAGTCTGCTTTACCTGAGAATAAATTACGCAGTAGAATAATTACTACTACAAGACATTCTGATGTAGCTAGATCATGCTGCTCAAGTTATGAAGGATATATTCACAACATTCAGCCTCTGAGTAACCAGGACTCCTCAATGCTGTTTTATAACAGAGTTTTTCAAAGGCAGACCTCCTGCCCGCCTCATCTAGAAGAAATCTCTCTGTCAATAATAAAAAAGATGCCATGGTCTGCCACTAGCTATAAACACAGTAGCTAGTTTGTTAGCTAACAGATCAAATGATATAGACCAATGGGAGCAAGTTCGAGATTCTATGGTTTCTGGACTTCATTCACAACTAGTTCGAGATATACTCCTGCTTAGCTACTATGATCTTCCACATCATCTGAAGTCCTGCTTCTTGTATCTTTGTATATTTCCTGAGGACTGTAAGATTGCAAGAGAAAAGCTAATATGGAGATGGATAGCTGAGGGGTTCATCACAAATGAAATTGGACAAACATTGGACCAAACAGGAGAGAACTACTTTAATGATCTTATCAACAGAAGCTTGATTCAACCTATTGATATAATGTATGATGGGATGGCTAGAGCCTGCCGACTCCATGATATGGTGCTTGATCTTATCATTTCACTTTCCACAGAGCAGAACTTTGTCACAGTGGTAGAGGGGGAGGTGTTTAAATGTTCCGCTAACAAGATTCGCCGGCTCTCTCTCCTATCCAGCTTTTTGGAAAATGATGTACTGCAGGAGATTATGAACAAGTGCTCACAGGTTCGCTCGCTGTTTAGGTTCCACGTGGCAAATAAAGAAGCCCTCATCTGCCAATATTTCATTCTTTAAGAGTATTGGTTCTACGATGTACTTGTGCCAACCTTGGTATTAATAACCACCACATTAAAAGTATTGGGAGCTCTTTGCAATTGAAGTACCTGGAAATAGGTTGTCATAGTATTACTGAACTTCCAGAGACCATTGGAGGCCTGCAGTATTTACAGACACTGGACATACATGGCAGCAAAATTGACAAATTACCCCCAACCATAGGCAATTTGAAAAATCTGGTGCGTCTACTAGTTGATTTTAACATAGAACTGCCAGATCAGATTGGCAACCTGCAATCGTTACGCATGCTGTCACATGCTTATTCGTATGGCTCTGTGAAATTTCTGGAGCAGCTCAGGCGTTTGACTAATTTAAGGGTCCTTCACATAAGACTGCACGGCAGCAGTGAACTTGGTGATCATGGCATGTGGAAGTATCAAGAAGCTTTGGAATCATCTCTCACTGTGTTGGGTAAACACGGTCTTCAGTCACTTGAGATTGAAACTAATGATTACTCGACAAGTAGACTGATGGATCTATTGTGCTGCAATGCTACATTTCTGCGAAAGCTGTGCAACCAGAGTTATCTTAGTAGGATTCCACAGGGAATGCAGTGTCTAGTGAATATTGCCCATCTTGATATCCGTGTTACCTGCATCAAACAGGAAGATCTCTGCATCCTTGGCGCCATTCCAACGCTGCTCTATGCCATACTGACCTCACTTGAAGCACCTACTGAAAGGCTTAGTATCGGCAGCCAGCAGTTCTGTTACCTTAAGGAGTTTATCTTCAGGTCCTATGGGGAAGGTGGGCTGAGGATGGTGGCTGAACAGGAAGCTATGCCAAGGCTTCGAAGTTTACGGCTTAATTTTAGAGCAAAGGAAACAGAATCCAAGACAGGTTTTGAGTTCAACTTTGTACACCTTGCAAACCTGGAGCATATCACCGCCACAATTGACTGTTACATGGCCACTAGAAGCAGAGTAGAGGCTGCAGAAGCTACCATCAGGAACACAGCCAACATCCATCCGGGACATCCTACACTACAAATCGAGAGATTTAGGGAGTACAGTACAGTGGAGGATGAGGACAGGAGGAAATGGTTCTGGCGGTGGAAGACAGTACAACATGCGACAAAGAGGTTCAGCAAAAGCACTCAAGAAAACGCAAGTGTTGCGAGGGCCTACTGCCATACTAGTGGGGTTGGGAAATAAGGAACCTATCAGTGTTTCATCACCATCGTGTTCCACTTCCATTCTATCATCAAGTAGGATGATTAGCTACTATCTATCATCAATCACGATGGTGCATATTGAAGACACTGTTGTATTACGCGAATCTCTAGTCGTAGCGAATGCAAGCATGCTTATTAAATTCTAATGACTATACCAACGAATACTATTATTGCAGTTCTATTTATGTATGAGTGTGAGAAGGTAGCTAGCAGCATCATTGGTGTAATTCCGCGACAAATAACTTCCAGTTTTTGAAACACAATTTCATATATAAATTATGAAATGGCACCACATGCAATTTTCTTCTAAAAGAAAGTGATGAGGCTAGAAGTGTAGAACTGGGAATGCCACAAGTGGCTAAAAGTTTGTAGCAAACATGTTATTTATTTAAATTTACTTCTTGTACATAAGTGGTAATAAACATCAATAAACTCGTACACATCAAGTAGGGAGTGGCCCTAGAAACTTTGTTGACACCAAAATTTGGGTCAGTGTAGCTCCCTTGGATTTCATCATTTGTTAGGGAAAACTGTAGTGTCTTCAGGATTAGCTAGCCAAAAGGGCATCAGGATCGGCTGAATTCCATGATGTCGCCGTTTCAACAATGGGCTGTGCCAATAGAAGATGACGGCAACCTAGAGCAGAAAAGCATGGTGGACTCTGTAGAAAGAAAAGATTGGAGTCCAAGTTATCTTAATTTAGAATGTTCATCTTTTTTTTATGAATTTTGAAACCAGTCTTGTTCGACCAGGACTCGTAGTGAAGCCTCGGGTATAAATATTAGACCCTGGCTATTGTAATAGACATCTCTCATCGATCAATCACACCAATACCTTTACTTTTCGGCTTACGCCACCCCTTAGAAGTAGGAGTAGAGTAGATCTCGGCGAGTTTTTCGGGCAAGCAGGGTTGCATCGGTTAGGTCCGACCTCTTGTTTGTTTGTGAGTATCCGTCACGACTTATACTTTGTTTATAAGGTTTCATCGGTCTAGCTCGACCTCTTATAAGCTTTGTATAAGTTAGTTATCATCAGTTATTGTAAGGTTGCATCGATCCGGCTCGAATCTCTTACAATCTCTGATACAAGTTACCCCTTGATTCTTATCAAAATTTGTAAGGTTGCATTGGTTCGGCTTGATCTCATACAAATTTTGATATGGATTAGTTATCGGTTAAATCTATTAAGATTGGTAGGGTTTTCTTGTTGTTTTTAATAGATTTGCTAGTTATCGATCTTATTATAATTAGTATTCTTACTATTTATAACAATATCACCCTTTACCTTATTAAGATTGAAACATATTGGTTTTATATCTCTTTAAATCATCGTCTTGTTGCTTTTTCCTATTTAGATCTCACTTTGACGATGGTTTCGACTAGGTCAGCCGTTTTGTCTCAATCTTGATCGAAGATAGCATGTGGTCAGGGCATGTTTGATCTTAAGTAAGCTTGCTAGTTGATGAGATCTAGTCTAGAACTGCTATTATGGCTGCCATCGATCCAGTTGATCACCACCGTTATAGATTGAAAAATATTAAGTAGTAAGGCTTGCTTATGGTCAAACAAGCCTATGGCTGCATGCTATGTTCCCATCGGCTATTTAGCCGATCGCTCGTGCTTTCACAATCGTAACATGTTTTCATGATTCCGTTAAATATGAATAGACTTGTATTGTTTGAAGATTTAGTCTGTTATCTTTATTATGGCTGCCATCGATCCGGTCGAACCCCACTGTTAGAGATAATATGTTAGATCTCATAGGTTTTTGGATCTGTCCATGTTTAATGATTGAGTGTTTGCATGTTATGAGTTTACTTCCACCGGAATCGGCTGTTTTAGCCGATGGCCTGTTTATTGAGAATACACTGGCTATTCATGTATTTGTACTCGTTTTTGTCCTGGTCAAAAGCTAGTATGTTTCTCAATTAATAAAGACGCTTTCACGTTTATCCATCACACCTTTACATGCTCTCATGATCATCAGCTCTTAAGATCTATACAATTGAATAACTGATAATTACCGATATACTTATTTTACTTATCATGTATCATGAACATGCTGGATATCGACTCTCTAGTTGATAGTCTTATCTCATCGGCTATCTAGCCGCACATTTAGAACTGTCTGGAATAACCACCAGCATGTTTCACCTTAAATTACTAATCAATTTTCTCTCCTTCTCAATTGCAGGGTCAAATTGACTGGCACGTCCTAGGTCACGACCATCCGGTCCGGTGTTTCTCTAAGCCTGGGAGAGCTCAGGATCTACTCCACGCGGTTTCTCTCAGCTTGCTTGCGTGTGCGCCCGACAGCGAGGCAACCGACCGTTTTCGCCGTCCACAAACTTTTTATTTAGGGTTGGCTTCATTCATAGGTGAGGACATGTCAATATTTATATACCATTTCAGTAGGGGCCTCAGCCTCTCCTGTTTACTCAAAACTAGTATAATGCACGTGCTAACGCTATGGATTTTTCTTGAGAATGTCTCTTAAAACAATAAAATTATTTTTGCATAGTTTAATGTAAAAACAATTGTACTTGAATCTACGTATAATTTTCTAATATTATGACCATCTAAGTTACATTTTGCCTAACTCCTTAATCATCTCTTGAAGATATTCAGGGATGTTGTCGGAACATTCGTTTGCACGACTCGCCAAAACGTCTGCCAAGAATTTCATCCTCAGTGAAGTTGAGAGCTGTGCATGGTATATAGATTAACAATAAGTTACTGTTTTTCTATGTAGTGTACAATGTATAGCTAGAGACTATATATGCTTACATTGTTGATCGGTGGCAATCTTTCGCCGTCCCAGAACTTCATGAAATTGTATACAAGAAAGCCTCCTAGTTTCCTGGACAAGATCAGTTGTTTATTTGATGTAAATAAATGAAATAATTTTTTTTGTGATATAACAGGTGAAATATATTACAACTGGTTACCAGTATTTATTATGTGTAACCTTTGTTACACATGTAGGGTATTGTTTCTTCCAATCATAAATATTGCCGTTCCACTTAGAATTTGATAGCCCCATGGCGAGACTAAACATTCTAGCCATTGTGTGGAACATAGGTATATAAGCCATTGTTTGATCATAACCCTTGAAACATGGACCATCTTGAAGGGGGTCCATAATGTGCACGGTTTTGTTTTCCATGTCTATTATGAATAAAATGTACAGTCCGCTTTGATAATATGGTAGTAGAATCTAAAAACAAACATAGAGAATATAAGTGCTAAACAAAATAAATTAATTTTGTACAGTAGTACACATAACATAACTTACGTTGTTACAGTCTTTAATTTTGTAATCCATGTCCGGCCAACACTCAAGTACTTTTCTCAATTTCCCACGGTATTCGTTGTCAATTCTGCCACAACATTGTGGATCTCGTCTAAACCCAGTTATTTCCTGAGGATTGTGCAAAAATATATTTTAATTAATTATACAATTATTGTAAGTCTTTGATAAACAATAAATTTATATATCAACTTACAGCAAACTTGAGGTCCATGAAGTGGTATTTTTGTTTCTTACCAACCATATGTTGATTGCACGCAGCCATCGGAATAGCCATATTTAAGCATTCATGATCCATCTCTAAATCCTCATCTAAAATATTTTTAATCTTGACAAGATTCAAAGAAATTAGGTACGGTCGTGTACTTCGTACCCACTCTTTGCTATAAAACAAGGTTAATCCACAAATTACTTTTTGTATGAATTCTAGAACGGATAACTGAAATATCTAAATTAGAACAAAACAATTTACTATAGAATGACTTACTGAATTAAAGTTTTGTCGCCGGCGATGAATTGGATGTTTGTGCATATTGCGGCCAATATTTGTTCCCTACTTTTCCACTTTATTGCACGTGTCAACTTAATTTCACCCGACATTATTATATCCAGCTCATCGAGCTCTGTGACATCACCATCTAGCTCATTGTGGGTCTCTAACTGTTGCCCATGATCCGGTAACCCTCTTGCTTCATTTAACGGGGAGTTATACAAGATCGCAGGTAGTTTGAACCTGAAGTTACTTATATCTTGCAGAAAATTTGAGCAAGTTCTGATATATATTAACCAATCCAAAAGAAATGATTATGTTTAGAAATAAACTCTTATAGAATTACCTGGGTGACATGGTCAGATAAAGCAGTTCCAGTCCAATATTCCATATAATTAATCAGCCATAATCCACAACTACAACTGAGCATATATTCCAAAAAATGAATAAAATATGAGTTTTAAGGTACTGTTGTTGGTTGTGCAATTGTATATACACGAAATGGAAAGATAGTTTACCCATCTTTTTGCATTTGTTCGGTAATCTTATGTTTAATCTCCCAAGATGACACTTCGATACCGTGTAGCCATTTAGTTTGGTTTAGTAGTTTAGATTTCAGTGCATGCTTTATTAGTCTTTCCATTCCTATTAACTGGAATGACCAAAACACCAAGGTTAACTAAGAAAGAGATAATGAAGAATTTTAAAGAAGTTTGTATATCAATTGTTAAGCCATACCGTATATCTGAGATCTTTCCAATCTGTCATATTTTGTCCGAAGGAATCCAAAACATGTATTTCACCTTCATTTGCATTCACGACCGCCAGGTACCGGTGAAAATTTGTAATGTTGATAGGAAGGAAGACCTGCAGTAATAGACATTTATCTAAACTATTTCCTTACATTTGAAAGGGTATAAAATTAGCATATGTGAAATCTTACCATATCAGCATTATAATAAATTTGTACCCTTCTTTCAACCATGTCCTCTTTTATCCAGCTCTTTTTCATCTCATCTTCCTCTCCCTCTTGTTGTAGTAATTGAGAGAACCACGTATTCTCCAAGTAAACATCTCCACCTTCTCTATGTAGTAGGTGTTCTTCGTGCCGCATCAATTGGATATAAAGACTCATGACCTACAAGTTTTTATTTTGTCATTTCAAGATTGGCAGATATTTC